AACACTGACTTTCTTGTGAGAAATAGAGATGTTCAACACGAATGGAAGCATTCTCATGCACATAGTAATGCTGTGACCAAAAGCTAGTCGTAAGCTAATTCATTTGTTGGACCACTCCTTCACTTAAGCTATATTGTAAGGATCTTTACCTTGCCATATGGCCTGACATGTGATGGGGTTAAATTTTGAATATTAATGTCAGCTTAGCTACATTTAGTTTATATTTTCCTTTAAGTGATTATGTTCTCTGGAAGATGATTTGATTTAGTGATATTTTCTAATTTACTTAAAATATGCACTTGACATTTAACTAAGGCTTAGTTTTAAATATAATTGACATTTTAATTTCACAAATACTGATTATAAAATATATACATTGTATAATTCAGGAGTGCTCTTCTGTCTTGTAGACTAATTGCTCCCCCGTTATATAAGGTGATTTAAACATTGCCCTCTCTGGTCTTCTCTCATTCTGAGGTTCTCCTTGAATTTGTTGTTTCAGTCCAACATTACTATGACCGTTCTTCTGAATTGTCACACTTGTGTGCCTTGTGCAACCTGATTGTAGTACAGTGCAAAATATTTTAGGTCTAGTTCTAATGGTATTCATCCTGGTAATTATTTTGAGAAACAGAAGAAGAAACTTGTTCAGTTCTCAAATCCATGCTTCTCCTGAGTGAACATGGACCTGGAATAGAGAGATGCTACCAACAGTCAGACCTGCTTTAAGTTACAATCACTCATGTTGACAGGCATGAGCTATCTGTCACCCAGATCACTGCCATGTGAGAGGGGAATTGGTTTCTCCCAAGTGGAAATATAAATGAGATCCTGCCGGACAATAGGATCCTTCTAGAAAAGACAGAGTGAACAGCATGTTTCGATTGACAACAACTATACTTTTCTTCTAAGAATGAAATCGATTTTTTGTCACCGTCCCAGCAGATCCAGTTACCCGATCATTCTATCCCTGTCACTAGTTCAACTTGGGACTGGACAGAAGCCTGGTGCTTTTACAAGGTTCACAAGGTGGCTTTCTGCAGAGGGAGCTATGGCATGGAGTTTGGCATTGGGTGAAGAATTTCCCTTCCCATCTTTCATCAATGGCCAGCAAGTCATAGCAAGGACTTGCACCATCTATTGTAAAACATGCTGACAGTTAAGACATGAGCAAGGTGATGACCATGGGGAAGGAGAGGGTTCACTCTACAGTCTCCTCATAATTGTTTCAAATGCTGCTTTGGTTCTCAGGGATGTTCTCTCTATTAGTGTTCATATGCTGCAGCTGAGATGGACTTTGATAAATAAAAATGAAACAGGCAAAGCTGCCCAGTTTTGTGTTTTGTCTTATTTCCTTATTATGACAGTTTAATTACAATGAAAAATAATGTGGCCCATGGGCATGCAAGCATGCCTGGTATACATCTTGGTCCAAACGACACAGTGAATGAAATATGTATTTAAAAGTTTAAAATGATTGATTTCTAAATAAAAGATTCTCAGGGATTTTGATTCATTTATCACTTTAAGTTAATGAAGAAGTTGTTGTTATTAATTATATATTGTGAGTTTCTAGTAAGTGATTAATTTATACTTTACTAATATTTTTGAAAGTCTCAACATTTCTGGCCCATGCTTATTAAGCTACTTGATGTTTAGAAGATGATAGTCTCATAGAATTGACAGAATTTTAGTATACCCCCAACTAACTTTCTTCCCTAGTTCAACATTAGAACTAACTAAGTCACAGTATACTGACTTGGTCAGAATATTAACCATGAATAAATGGCATTTATATCAGTAGAGGAAGATTTGGGTAAATCCCAAGAAATACAATTATTAAGTTTGATAAGCATTGATTACTCATTTATATTAACATGATTATTTCAAATTTGCGTATTTATTCATTTACTTATTTTTGTATGAGTGTGTATGCCATGCTTGGCCAGGAGTTCACAGAGGCTTTGAAAAAGAGTATGAATCCCTGGAGTTGCAGTTACAGGTGATTCTTCTGAGCCTGGTGTTGGGGCTGGGCTGAATACAGAATATTTGCAAGAGTTAGTATACCATTCTCTTCACTGCTGAGACATCTTTCCAGCCTCTTGTTTATTTTTTAGAGCACTGGCAAACTGTTTTCCAAAGTGACTGCACCAGTTCCCACACTGGCTCGAAATGCATGAGGTTTTGCTCTGCCTTTTAAACAGTTTTCACACCCATGTTTTTTCTTTCAGCCCCTCCGATAGCTCTGTGGTTAGGTCTTCCTGGTTTGAATTACATTTTTCTAAAGACTAGAGTTTGCAAAATATATATTTTTTTATGGACTTCTTTGCCATCTATCCGTCTTCTGTCTGTGATTTGATTTGTGATGGCTAATCTTACTCATTGACCAGATAAACCTGGAAAGAGGAATTGCCAAAATCCCATTGGCTTGCGGTCATTTCTTTGGGGGCAATTTCTTGATTGCTAATTGATGTAGGAGAGTGTAGCCTACTGTGGGCAGTACCATCCCTTAGGGCATACTTTAAGAAAGGTAGCTGTTAATGAATCGAGCAGCCAAAAACCAATGTTCCTCCATAGCCTCTGCTTCAGTTCCTGCCTTCTGGTTCATGCTTAGGCTGGCTTCCCTTGATGGTGAGCTGTGATCTTTAAGCTACATTAATCCTTTCTTTCCCAAGTTATTTTTGCTTCTTGTTTTATCGCTGCAGCAGAAAGCAAACTAGGACATGATTTCTGTGTATTTTGCCAGTTTTCTAATTGTATTGCTTTTTTTTAAATATGGAGTCTATTATATATTCTAGATAATTTAGCTTGTCCAGATAATTGGCTTGCAAATATCTTCTCCCCTTAATAGCATCCCCTTAATAGGGTATTTCATAAAGAAAAGTTTTAAAATTTTATGAAATCCAATTTATTTACTTTTCCTCTTCTGGATGATAAAGATAGTGTAACACATAGGGATTCTTCCAATACCATGGGCCTTGAAGACTGGACCTGTTTATTTTTTTTGTTTGTTTTTTTGTTTTTCTTTTTTTATGAAAGTTGTATAATTTTACATTTTAGGTTTCTACTTGTGGATTGTGGTATGATAAAAGTATTTACTGGCTCTAGGACAACTTTTGCTCTTGGAAACCCAGTTGTTGAATTTCCTCTTGACTTGTTTGGAACTTTTTAAAAACAGAAGTCAGGTGTGTTCATGGAGGTCATGCCAGGCGTGCTTCCTGTGTTGATCCATTGATCACAGGTTAGCCTTTTTCAACAGATCTAGAACAGATAGTCTTCATCCCCTTAGCTATAACACAAGCCCTGGAAATGGACCATACATAAGAAAAGATTTAAATACAGTTGTTTTTGCAGTGGTTGTGTGAAGTATACGATGTATGCTCATATTAAGGCACACATGTTATACATAAACATGGAGGTTTGGTGTCTTTTTCAGTCATCCACTCATTTCATTTTTGAGACTGGACCTTCCCCTGAACCTGGAGCTCATGGTTGTAGTGAAGACTTACTGCCCAGTGAACTACAAGAATCTACCCTATCCCAGCCCTGACATACATGCTTATGGTACACAGAATTGCTTTTATCCAGGTGCTAGGATCAGAATGTAGGTCCTCATGGTTGATCGACAAATACTTTCCAGATTAAATCATCTCTTAGCTTGAGCGGTAATTTATCTAAATGAAACAAAAGCTGATAAAATAACTTTAATAAAAACAAGATAAGCATAATCCATGTTTGTATAATAATCCTCCTTTGCTCATTTAAATATAATATTTTCAAGCCTATTAGTTCTGTCATCTTATTAATAAATTATCATGCTGATATTGGTAATAATAGATCATCTTGAATCCATCCAGACCATTGATTCTATAATTCCCAGCAGCTGTGAAAAGGTCACTACTAGTGCAAGCTAACTAGCAAACCAGAATCCCTCCTACAGAGGGCGCCCATATGCTTTGCCTTCTCCATGATTGCCTAGTGTGCTGACTACATTACTACTGCATATATCTACAACTAGATTTCTTTAGTTATGAAATTACATGAAGTATAGTCTGTTTTAGTTTCCTTTTGACATTTTATAAATCTATTGGCTTCCAAATCTATTGGTTTACTACACATATGTAATCACTAATTTATTCTTCCTGAGCTCTGATTATTGCCATTAAAACTTTTAAAATTACTCAAATATAGTGATGGCTGGATTTTTTTTTCACAAATCAAATAATTAACCTTGAAAAGATGTGTTAAGATCAATCGTGTAGTTTCTGAGGATGGTAACTGAGTTTCGTTGTGTGCAATGTCAAGCATATAGGTTCTCCTCTAGAGAAACAACTATTTCTTTAGAGTAAATATAAGGACAAGCAATGCCATGTTAGATGTGACAAGCAGCTAATGGTGACTGAACACATAAGCCTGTGTGGGGTGTCCTGTCTCACCCAGTAAAGCACTTGCAGGGTGTCTTGTTACATACAGTAAAACATGTGTGGGTGCTCCATCTTACACAGTAAAGCCTGTGTGGGGTGTCCCATCTCATATTGTGAAGCACGTGTGGGGTATCCTGTGTCACTCGATATATATATGTTTCATTGTGTAGTACTATGTAGCCCTAATCCATTCTGCTGAAGACATCACATAAGTGAACAATTCCTCCACAAGGAGATTTCTCAAAAGTTATTTAATAAGCAAATATGTTAACATCAAATACTCTTACAATGGTTACCTAAGTCTTTGATGAAATCACTTAGAAAAAGGTAACATAATTAAGAATAATCAAAGCAAGACATGGTGTTGTATTATAATCTTAGCACTCAGAAGCCTAAGACAGAAGAAAGACCACTTCAAGGTTAGCCTGAGCGTCATCATAAAGTCACTCTCGACAAACAGAATGTTATCAAGGAATGTCAGTAAACTAGCCCCACTGGCAAACGTGTACACTTTAACTCCAACATGTTACATTTAACTGAAGATGTTCTGACTCTTCCTCTCTCTTCTAAATCTAGGCTGTCGGGATTCCAGCTGCCTTCCTCCATCGTGAGCACTGGGTCTCTCCTCACGCTCTGGTTCACCACGGATTTTGCAGTGAGCGCACAAGGTTTCAAGGCCATGTATGAAGGTAGGAGGCAGCGGCTCTTGGCATGTTGCTCATCTATCTGCTAAATGCTGCTGTGAGATACTGATTCTGTGGGTCCAGATTTATTGTACGGAGGAAGTACTTGGCTGTTCTTTAACACAATGTCAAGCAGATGCAACACTGTCTTCTATGTCTGCCAAAGAATGAGCAAAAACATGTTTAACTTCCCAGTTATTGGTCTGAACTTATGAATCAGATTGTTTTGTTGACTACAATGGTAACATCTGAGGATTACACAGATAAATTAATTGGTGGGACTGCTTCATCATAAAGCATTTGTTTTTAACCTAGAAGAGTCTTATTAAACTGTTTCCTCAGCAGTACGACTGGTAACTAGGACTAAAGTAAGGTGGTCTTATGAAATGAGGGATTTTTGCCAAAGTTAGAATTTTTAGGTTAGGAATTAATTTGGCCTCACTCTTGTTTGTCTCTTGCAAAGCAGTAGAATTTTTGTTTTGTATTTGACGTCAGGTTTATGGTTATATACTTTATGATGTTGTTGTCAGTTTTAAGGTGTTTTGGTGTAGATGTAACAGAAGACATGTGGACATTGGTTAAGGAAAGGATTGTCTCTGTGTTAGATTTGAAGTAATTGAACTGGGTACCAATGAGCACTAGGCCTAAGGTGTGTGTAATTTAGTTTGGTATAGAGGTATTTAATTTTCTTTCATGTGTAATACAAGAGCTATCATTTGTTAGTTACACAAACTCCAGTGACTGTGAGTAAAGAAAAATGAATTGTGGGTGGAGCCATTAGTCACTGACTTTCTGCAACCCACGTGGTTTGCTTTACATGTGTCATGATTTGCTCTAATACTGAGTACATGTGCATGTACTTTGTGCAAAGTTCAACCCTCTACTTGGTTAATTTAACTGAAATTAGTTGTGATGCAGCTATCTGGTTGTAATGGGTTATATAATAACATACTAGAGTGTAATACAACCATGTGGAGTTGTGCAAAGACTTGTTAATATTTTTAGCTTAAATGACCCATTAATGCTGCAGATCCCAGCATGCTCTGCAAGACTCATTTGTGAAGACATTATGCTTTCATACAAACCAGCGTCTGTTGTGAGAGAGGTATAAATCCTGTTGAATGTGCGACTGTCAAGAAGTAGCATAGTCTTCGGACAGTAGCAAGCTGATTTATGATCAATTTTTGGATTAACTTTTTTATCAATTATTTTATTTGTTTACATTTCAAATGTTGTCCCCCTTCCCAGTCTCCCCTTCATGATCCCTCCTTCTCCTTCCTCTTTGCCTCTAAGAGGTTAGATTAACTTTAAAATTCAGTTACAATTGCCATTTTTCTTTGACCCCTTAATCACATGTCTGTTTCAGGACACAAAAAAAAAATCTCCGTATCAGTGTGTTTGCGTCCTCTGAGCTTACTTACTTCTAAGATTTTAGATGATATCTGTCCAGAGGGTAGGCAATGTGTCCAAGGTCTGGGAACTCTGGCAATTCTACTCTGTCTCCTGACAAAGTCATTGTGGGTACTCTGTGTATTTCTCTGATTATCAATAAATAGCTAATGTAGAAACATTTGGAGCTAAGTGATGTCCAAGTGTGCCCTTTGATCAAATCTTCCTGGTCTGCTGTGGGTTTTATTCATTGTCATAATGGATGATAACGTAGTTTTTAACATATTGATGAATTTTTTTCTGTTAGACATTATATCATGTTTGGGTCAGCATTATAACAAAATATAACTGGAAAAGTACATAGATAATATGCTAACTTGAATGTGCTTTCAGAATATGTAAAGATGTTTTTTTAAGTTACATTTCAAATGGTTAATCATTTATCTGGTAATTACCAAAAACCATAAGGCAAATTTTGAAGAAAATATTTGTGAAATACACAAATCTGTCATCAACAAAATCAATTTTATATAATATTTAATATCTGAATATAATCATTATTTATCATTGCCCATCAAAGACTTTTATCATCCTGATAGAAGAGTACAGAGGGGAGAAGGTATTGGAAAGAGAGCAAAGCTCTCACTGACAGCTTCCCTCCTTTATTGATAGCTCAAGCCCCCAGGGATGGGAGGTACCTCTCACCCACCAAGGCAAGATCTGGGGAATACATAGGACAGAAAAATTATATCTGCATGAGAGAAGGCAGGGCCAGTGTGGTGACCAGAAAGACATCTACAGCAGTTTCCAATGTGTTATTTACATTCAATTTTTAAAAAATAATGTAGATTTTCTTTTACTCTAGTACTTGCTGATTTGAAGAGACAACCCATGTAGTAATTTCTATGAAGGAAACAATGTAATTAATGTTAATCTAAACACTTAAAAATGTTAATTTATTATCCAAGATATTTAATGGAAATTGAATTTAGAGAAAAGTACTAAATCAACTATTAAAGCATTTCCCCGTAGTCCTTAAAGTAGCACTGCTTTCCTAAATTAGAATTTCTTTAGTATTAACAGATTGCTACTTAAAACTTTAATTTATATTCACTGAGTTGGAATGAGGAAATTGTCCAAAGTTATAATATCTGTCAAAAATAAGATAACCTTGGCAGTGTTCTTAATCTGGGCATGGAATGCATGATTTTTTGGCAATATTTCCAAATAAGTCTTGTTTATGTAAATTATTATTTGTACATGGGGAGATTAAGCAACATAATGAATGTGGAAACAATAAGTTAAATATTCCAATTAACGCATTCAGTCACTGAATTTAATGTTGTAATCCTAATGAACGTATTTATGAATTTCTTGCTAAAGTTGTCCACATGGAGTATTTCTTCAAGGTTTCTCTTTGGGACTTCTTAACCAATAAGTTTATAGATTATTGTATAAGTACAGAAAAATTTTGAGTCAGTTACTCAAAATACTCATTTTATCATGTTTTATTGGCTCCATTTATGGACCAATCAATTAGTATAATTCTATTTAATAATTTTTTAATGAGACCCAATGCTGTATGTTACTTATAATTAGTCCTAAGAAATTCTGACATATTTGTTTTTGTCTTAAAATTATTAAGTTGATTAACATCACACACATATGTGTGGATAGATGGATAGATAGATAGATAGATAGATAGACAGATAGTCAGATAGATAGATAGATAGATAGATAGATAGATAGATATGTATGATGATTAGGTGGTAGTTGAAGGACACACATATTAGATATATGGTGGGTAAATATTTCAATACTGTATAGCTGAATGGGTACATATATAAACAGAAAGGAGGCAAAAAGATGATAGATTAAAATGTAGGCAATCGATGATTGCGAGAAAGATGCATCACAGAGGATAGATAAAGGACTGGTAGATAGTTGAGCTATATACACAGACGATAGGTAGATCATTGCCACACAGATATATGATAAAACATTTATAGGCAGATGATTGATAAATATCAGAAGGATGCATATGTAGATAGATGGTAGAAAAGTAGATGACAGATGATCACAGCAAGGTAAATATATCAGAAATAACCAACAAATGATAGACAGATAAATAATGATAGGTAGATAGCAAATGGATGGATAGATATGGTGCATTGAGAGACCAATATACAGCTAACTAGTGATAAATATTGAGGTAGATAGGACAATACATAGACAGTTAGATAGATGTGTCTATTATTATATAATGTCTTAAGTGCATTTTCTAATCTGTCCCCACAAGGACTCTGCAAGTGAGATAAAATTACCTGTGACTATCATTTAAAGTTGATGGAGCAGTGACTAAAATAGTTTCATTTTTTTTTTCAGAATTGCACTATGTTGCTCAGTGTCAGCAGAATTAAGCCCAGATCTGCTTATCTTTAGAAGCTGCAATTCTCAAGGACTGCTTATCCTCCAGATGTTAGAGACTGTGTGTATCAAACACAAGCACATGCATACAGTATCCATGTACTATATGTTCATGTTTATAAAGATACTGTATGAGCCGGATTCAGTAGGTAGATGTTAGGGTCTAAGAATTCATTTCTCATGGGTGGAGAGATGCCTCAGTGCAGAACACTTCCTGCTATAAGAGGACCTGGGTTCACTTGTCATCACCCGTATCAGGCATTTCACAGCTGTAACTCCAAGTCAATGAGTTCTTATGCCCTCTTCTGGCCTCTATAGGCACTGCACTCACAGGTGCACAAACCCATTCACATACATTTAAATAAAAGTAAGTCTTTGAAATGTGGGATGTTTTAGTGATCTCATTTTTCCCTCCCCTTGTTTATAAACCTCTCACTGAGTATTTGACAGCTATCTAGCACTACACTATAATAATAATGATTAATAATAATAATAGTAGTAGCAGTAGTCACAAGGCTGAAATGAGTGGGCTGTCCTGAGGACTAATAAAATAGAGGACTGCATGGTGGAGTGTTGTTCAAATGGTCTAAAGAGAAATTACTGCGGGTGTCATACCCTAAATGTTGGTCTGAACAAGCATACATGATAAGAAAACCCTTCTGGGTGAGGAAGAAACGTGCACAAGGAATACTGAGAAAAATAGATGCTCTTATTTGAGGACTGTGTGTGAACAGAAAGAAGGTAGGTTTGTAGAACTGGTTTTAAGGGATGCCAGGCTCAAGCTGATCGGACCCCTAGCGCACCTGAACACTCCAGCAGTGAACTGGGTTTGTATTGTATCATCCTTGAGACAGTAGACTCATACTGTTAGAGCCTTAGAGGACACTCTTTTCACTACACTATAAAATGCAGGATAGAGCTTTGTCAAATATTTTTAATGAATCTAAGATGAATGACCAGTGACATATCATATATGTTTTAAATAACTGGGGATGTGGATTTTGACCCGAAAACCTGTGAGCATGACCATTGAGGATATAGACAGAATCTTCGGCGGTTAAGATAATTTTTAGCCAGTTTGTATACAATCATTGAAATGCTCTAAAAAGAAAGTGTGTCTATAGCCTGTAATATAGACACAAGAAATCTGTGCAGAATGGTCTGCTTAGTTCAGGTCACCAAATTACCCT